CCAGCCACGTCTCAGAAGCAAACACTCACTTGCATCCCTCACTCCAGTGATCTCTTGCTTGTCTAGAACTACAGACTGTTTTTCCTGGACTGTGTATCTCCAAGGGTGACTTCCCGTTGAATCTGTAGCTAAAGATGTCCTCTTCCTGGATCACAAAGTCAGAACAGGGGGACCCATCTGGCTGTCGCCTGGCCTTTTACAGGCGGAAGGACGCCCAAGGCTAGCTGCATTTTGTCCCAGCCTCAGCTATCGCTATCGCACCTCGCCTTACTTTTCTTCACAGACGTTGCATTTCCTTACAAACTGAGGGCAAGACCTTCCATCAGCAAAAAGATTACCACTTGCTCTATGGCAGTGGTCAGGAACCACACTCCAAAATCTCTGAGCTAAGCCTGTACTTTGAATGTATAACGATTTTTAAATGATCAGGGTACTCACGTGACTGGATGCTCACTGAATTTTTTAACTGGTCTGTGTTCCTATTTTGCAGGCATCTGGCTAGGCACTCTGGGCGTGGGTCTTTCCCTTCTGGTTGTTTTGCCCGGAAGGAGGAGCATTCTTTTAACGTGGACCCCGGGGAGGCTCAGGAAAGTGACCTGTTTGCATCTCTGTGTCTTGTCAAAAACTGTGTGCTGTTTCTTCAGGAACGGCTCTCATCTTTGCCTGTTCGCTGTCTTTCCCATCTACTAGTATAATCTCTCCCCTCTCTGTCTCTGTCTCTCTCACCTTTAGCATTTAGAATTTTGGGGAAGATTCTCAATTTGCCACACTCGTCACTGAACAGATGTCAGTTCTCTCTTTAGTCACTCAGATGGCACAGGTGAGCTCTGCATCTTGCCTAGAATCCCTAACGCTGGGTACCACTCAGCTCCCTCCCCAGCAATTCCATGCCATGCGGTGCAGATGGGTTGGCTCCCCTTACCCAGCCCCTAAAAGGGGACCGCATACCAGTCTTACCCATCCCAGGACCTCATGCCACTGAGAGTGGTTTAGAAACGGGGCATTTTAAGACAGGTGAGCCAGGGCTTTAACCAGAATCCCAGAACTTTTGCTGGAGATATAAGGAAAGGTCTCACTTTTCTCTGAGATGTGAAGCCTTAAGGATTATGTAAGTTGGGAGTTGATGTGCGTGTAAGTGTTGGGGGGGGGGGGGGGGGTGTCTCCCTCATATGGCAACAGCTTGCCCAAGAATGAAGTGAAGGCAAACAGTGAGGGAAGAGAGGAAGAGAAATGAGGAGGGGGAGAAAGGTGTTGGGGGGATTAAGGGGGAGAATTGAGAACCTCACTCAAGCCTCTTGATACAGGTGAGCCTGATCCTTACCTTCATGAGCCAATACATTCCTCTTTCACGTAACCAGTTTTAAGTTGGTTTTCTCTACCCTACAGCCAGAAAGAATCCACCAGGACAGCTGGTCCCACTAGACCAGTGGCCTGGTTGGCAAACTGTGGCCCATGAGCCACATGCAACTCTGTTGACTAATAAGTTTGCCGACCACTGCATTAGACCATGATGGATGGGATCTTCCCCAGCCCCACTGACTAGTCTAGGAAGACTCCCTTAGTGATGACAGTCTAAGAAAAGCTGGAAGGGCCAGCATGCTGGTTCCCAAGGCTCCTCCTACCCTACGCTACCTAAAACCTACTTCTGCAAAGGCCAAACCTCCCAAGAGGCACTGTGCCTCACCCACTTCCACACCCCCTCCTGTTCCTTGGGGTGTGCAGGGAAGAGGCAGGAAGGAGAAAGCCAAACTGGTCACGTGGGGAGAGTACACGTGCCCAGCTTATCTGCAAACAAGGGTTTCTCAATCAGTGGGTGGTCACTGAGAAAACAGTGAACGCCACTCCTACAGGGATTAACTTCATAAAACTGATATCACTTTGCAGTTTTTAATCCAATTCCAGTAACTCTGCAATTCGCAGAAATCTCTAAGATTCGAATGGCAGCTTGACTCACCATCAGTGGTCAGCGGTCCATGCTTTGTGCCCTCCGAGGTGTCTCGATGGAGATCTGAGGGGCTGCACCAGGGGCTGCCAGCAGGTCAGCACTTAAAGCTGGAAGCACTGCCATCTCTCCTCTCTCCCCCGACTCTGCACACTGTCCAGGACAGTTTTAAAACTCCGGCTGCTATGCTCTCAGGGGCTAAGATGAGCAGGAGTGCCTGGCAATGTTCTGAACATCCACTGAGCACCACTAACTCAAATGTTGTTCCGATCATTATTGTCACGATCATCACAATTCTTACGAGCAGCCGATTCCCATTTCAGCATTGGGGTCTTAACATTCACTGTTCTCTCTGCCTGGAACACTGGGCCCCAGATGGCCTGGAGGCCTACTCCCTGCCTTCGTTCAGCTTCCTATTTAAAAACAGCACCTCCTTTGGGATGACCATCTAACGGGTACCCCCTCCATCATCTCCATCACCGCTTCCTTCTCCGGCTTCATGCTGTTCCCCATCCCCTTTCCATCCCTCTGACCGTCTGCATATGTACTTATCTGCGATCGTCTGTCTCTTCCCTCTAGAACATAAGCTCTATGACACTCTCTTATTACTTGTAATGTTTATTTAAAATTTTGTTAGATTACTCTTGTCAACTGCTTATCACTTTACAAAACACATACACACAATTTATTTACTGAGAATTTACTAAGTACGGGGAGCTGTCCTAAGCACTTTGTATGTACTCACTCACTCGCTTAATCCCTAAGCAAAGCCTGCAGGATGGGCCCCGCTGTCACTCCCATTTCAGACATAAAGGCCTGGGAACAGAAAGGCTCGTTAAGCTGCCTGAGGTTATGCAACTAGTGAATGTGAGACCAGGGTTGGTTCCCTTGCAAGTCTAGCTCCAGAGCTGTGATCTTCATTGCCTTCCCACATGCTCTGGAAACTATTACCATTATTAGCTATTATTATGACTATTAACAATGGTGGAACCCCAGCCCACAGTGGTGAGAAACCTGCACTCACTCCTGGGGCTGGAGTCCAGAACCCATTTCCTGACTAACACGCTGAACTCCTCATAGTTCATTTGTTGCCCACATCAACCCCCTGACACAGTTTCCGTTACCTCCGCATTCAGATGAGGAAATGGAGGCTGAGAGGGCTCAAAAGACAGTGCTGAGGCTCAATAACTACTGATCAACAAAATGCTTTTGAAAAAGTGGTGGGTGCTGGATAGAAGGGGTCAATGGGGGAGAAGGAGGGCTACCTGCAACACGTTCAACAATAAAGGTTAAAAATAAAATAAAATGTAAGCTGCACCAAAAAAAGTGAATGAGTTTTTTTATTTATTAAAAATTATATGTGGCCCAGCCAGTGTGGTTCAGTTACTGAATATCAGCCTATGAACCAGGACATCACGGTACGATTCCCAGTCAGGGACTGGCCAGTTGCTGGCTCGATCCCCAGTGGAGGGTGTGCAGGAAGCAGCCATTCAATGATTCTCTCCCATCACTGATGTTTCTATCTCTTTCTCTCTCTCCCTCTCCCTTCCTCTCCCTTCCTCTCTGAAATCAATAAAAATATATTTTTTAATTATATGTGATTTAAGGTTATTAAAATGTGTGTGTGTGTGTGTGTGTGTGTGTGTGTGTGTGTGTGTGAGAGAGAGAGAGAGAGAGAGAGAGAGAGAGAGAGAGAGAGAGAGAGACTGACTGACTTCCTTCTAGAACAAGACTAGATGGAAGAGCTTCAACTCTGTTACATTTTCTCGTGAACTTGTGCCTCTTTAGTTCAGTGTCACTGGGTCTGCATAGGATTCCCGCTGCCACTGCCGACATAGATCTCGGCAGTAGACTGAGCTCCTCTCGCCTCCTCTTAGAGTCCTGATGCCTCTTCAAGCTACAGCGCTAGGAGATACCTTGGTCCCGCCTCTCATTTCTCTTATGGAGAAACTGACCCTCAGGACTGGCCCAAGGCCGTTCAGCTACTGAGCAGCAGAAACCCAAACGTAGCAGTTTCCAAATCACGCTCAGTCACAACAGGGCCAGGCCATTCCAGATCAGTTTGTATTCATGGCACACAGCCTCCGCATAACCCCTTTATACAATGGGTGAGATTGGAAGTGAGATGGTAGTTTCGGATTTTAGACTCCTTTATCCTCAACATCACTTATGTGGACTCCATCCCAGTCAGTCGATGCTCTCACACCTCACAGGTGCATTCCAGCCCCAGGGCGCCTCTCGCTCTCATCCATAGGGTTAAAGTGTCTGCAGAGTTCTAGGGCGAGGGCACATGCGGACATTGGTGCCAACAGGTGGACATTCTGGTGTGAGAAATAAGGGGTTAAAGTTGGTAGGTTTATGGGAAGATGGCCTTTGTGCTCTTTAAGTTGCTCTTTTGGGATCTCCTTGTCTTACTGTAGATGTGGGAAGACAGGTAGGGGCTGCTTCCTACACCTGGGATGTTGGGAGAGGGAAGTGTGGCCTAGGGAAGCCTCTAAACCCTGCCTATGCTCTGAGCATAAGTAGTTCAACATTCGTGGGAGGTCTCTTTCTCCCAGACTGGAGCATTTCACACGGAGGTTTGGGATCAAAGCCTTCTCATCATGCTCCATGTATGTTTGTCGAAATGTTCTCGGAGCACACAGCCCCCTGGAACCAATGAATAGACAGGCAGATGATCTAGAATTCGGAAAGTTAGGGAATTGGCCCAAAACAGTGCCACATCATTATGAATGAAGGAGCAAGTAAGACTGGCTGCCCTGTTGGTGATTCGCTGTGGGATTACTGGTTGCTGGTTCCCCTTCCTCATCTTCATCACTCGGAGTTAAGAACCTCCAGTGCTACACTAGACACAGTGAATGCACACAGGACCGAGTGTCCTGGAAACAGGAGTGCAGTGGACAGTGAATCTCAGGAGGGAAGAAGAGAAAGTGACTGACCCAAGCATATCTGGGGTTTCCAATGATGCTCTGCAGGGTCCTCCAGCCACCAGACCTCCAAGCTTACTAGGGTGATGGAGGGACATCTTTTTAAAAAATATATATATATTTCATTGCTTATCCCTTCTCGGCCTTTTGGCTAAGATCAAGTGTAGTATATATTTCATTGCTTTTTTTTTTTTTGAATAGAGAGGAAGGGAGTGGGATAGTGAGTCAGAAACATCGATGAGAGAGAAACATTGATCAGCTGCACACACCCCCCCCCCCCCCACTGGGGATGCGCCCACAACCAAGGTACATGTCCTTGACCGGAATCGAACCCAGGACCTCCCAGTCCGCAGGCCGACACTCCATCCACTGAGCCAAACAGTCAGGGCCGGGGAGGGATATCTTAACAGTGGCTGCTCTTATGTTCCTTGGCATTGTTAAAGGAAGATAATGTACAGTTGTAGGCTTTCAGAGCAGGATAGACCCCCCACAGATGGTCTAAGCCAACCCTTTCATTGCACCAATGAAAAACAGGCCCTGAGAAGTGCTTTTTCCAAGTTCAGTGACCCAACTCAGTGTCTTTGGACATCAAGTTTTTTGCCTCCCCTCACAGGGAACACTTTCCTACAGTTATTTTGCTTCTCCAGACTACAGAACATAAAAGCAGACGGGGAAGATTTACTGGCATTTCCCTTCCGAATTCTGTCTTTTGTTTTTATTTTTTTGCTGTTTTTTTCCCAGCCAAAAAGCCTCCTTCCCTCGTTGTTCGGGATAAGCTTCCGGCACGAATGGGCCTCGTTCCATTTGGTGCTGGAAAGCCGCTTTCCCCTAGAGACTGCTGCCAGGGCCGTGGAATGGGGGCTGGAATTCCAGATGGAGCCGGACAAGGAGATGACCATTTCTGGGTCACCCAGCTGCCCAATGCCCTGGGGTGGCCGCAGCAGCGGGAAGGGTAACCTAGTTTGCTCAGGAAATATTGCAGATGTCCCAGTTTATCGGATGCAGTCCCAGAAAAGGACTGTCCTGTTTCCACTGCTCCTACAGAGAAACCTGACAAAGCTCCGCCGCCCCTTCTTCTGCCCGACGAACCCGCACAGCCCTGCACCCTTCTCCACATCCGACCTCGATCTGCCCCAGAGTCTTCACTCTCCTCTGAGGTGATCCCACTCTGGCCTGGAGACGATGGCACGCTTCTCAGAACTATTTTCAGGGACACTCAGACCCCAATGGTTGAGGACCCGGAGCCAATAGCCACCCTTCAGGGTGTGACGGCTGGTTAGCCTGCTTGGCTGTGCTGAGCAGAAGCAGAAGGGCAGTAATAGGAGTAGACAGTGCAGAACTCACAGGGGAGCCCCTGGATCAGGGAGGCAGGAGGGTGGTGATGGGAAATGCAGGGCAGGACCAGGCTACCTGCTCCAGCCGTGCTACTAATCATCCCTGTCTCTCTGGGTATCGCCTGTCACTTCTCTGCTGTTCAGCTTCCTTATTGGTCACCTAAGAAGGCCTCACTAGAGTGGTGGGTGGAGGGGTAGTTGACAAGAGTTTGAGATTGTGAAGTGAGCATAGAAGTCATAGCTCCCAAACCTGAGAATATAGTTCCACATTCTCCAGCCTGGACTTTAGGGGTGTATGGATAAGCCCAGGTGGGGCTTGAGGAGGGGTAGCGAGAGAGATTACAGCAGGCATGGCCTCCACTCTGTAAGCTCCCAATCAGGGGCACAATGGGTCCTCCTGGCTTTATACCCCCACCCACCACCCAAGGGCATCTATGGAAGCTGGATGCATGGTTTCCTGGGCACTGCATGAGGGCAGGCCTCTGCCTCTCACCGCATACCCCCGTGCCCAACACATGCGGGCGGTGCCCAAGAACTATTTACTGAATGAACAGATGAATCCGAGTTTCTTCTTTTCCTTTTTAATGTCAAAGAAAACTGACAGATGACTTTCCCTCCACGCGCTGCTTACAGGGGAAAGAAAGGGTGTCTCAGACAGAGAAACGCTGGGAAATTCCTCCTTTGTGTGCGTGCATCAGACTCAACAGCCTACGCGCCAGCCTGACACACTCCCTGATCCTAGATGAGATGAAAAGCCAGGGCCACAGCTGAGGAGAGCTGCAGGTGGGTGGCAAAGTATTTTCAAGAGGTTTGGGGCCAGCAATTTAGAAGTATGGGTCTTCCTGGGTTGCCATTTCAGGAAAGAGGGGTGCCTCTACCACTGGGCACGTACCCTGAGCTGTCGAGGGTACCCTGTTGTCTTATTTGGAATAGCTTCCTTTACTTGATGTTCTGGGATGTGGGATCCAGATTGCAGGCCACAGGAAAAATTAAATAAAAAATGGAGTATTGTATAGGATGTGAATCATAAATATATTTTTAAAAGTTAAGTGAGGCTGCCCAATTATAGCCGGGACTGTGGGTCAGGGAACCAAATCCATACCAGGGTCACTGGAGCATAAAGAAAGGCAAGGTGAGGGGAGGAGAAGAGAAAGAAGGTTGACAGAAAAGAGACGTGTGGTGTGGCCACAGCACCCTGGCAGGGGAGAGCAAAGACTACAGGTTCAAGTTCCATCTCAGCCACTTAACAAGTGTTATGACTTTGAGATATCCTTCCTAGAGCCTCAGGTTCCTCATTAGTAAAACAAAGGTTGGATACAAAAAGTACCAGCTTTCTATTAGTCTTTGATTTGGGAATTATTTTAAGACAGGCTAATGAAGTTCGGATAAAATTAGAACCGTGTGAGTTTGAAAGAACTCACCCTGTTCTCAGTGACAGATTCAAGAACAGGATGGAATTCCAAGTTCTTTTGTGAACTTTCTTGGTGAAGGACTTCTGAGACTTTGCTGCTCTGGGCATAGGGTGGGGAAGACTGGTTAACATGACCTGAAAATATTTTTTTCAAAAACAAGAATGTCAGTGAATAACACCCCCCTTCACTTAGTCTAACCATTTCTCCTTCTCTCCCTCAAACTTTTCAAATGTTCCCAAAAATCTAAATAAAAACCTCAAAATTAGTGTCTAAAATAAGCATCCTACTTTTACCCTGATGCCCAGTTTACCCTTTAAAGAATGGTTGTGTTTCCACATGTTTTATGAGAAAGCTAAAAATCTTTAAGCAAGCTATTTGATGAAAGCATTCTAATAGAAACTTGGCATTTTACATTTGGATCAACCCATTTATAAGTGCAATGAGTTCCCTCCAAGTGGATCAAATACACTAGGTCAGTATTCCTAAGAAGAGAATGACAAAGTGCCAATTAACTTCTAGAAGTTAGGCTTTGAATTCTGGCTTAACTGAAAAAGAATTGGATTCTAGTATCTTAGTCTAGAGCTACACTCTGAATATGACTTTTTTAAACTCCTAATCTCTGGGCAAAAAGATAAGAAACAAATAAACCATAATATTTGAAGATAAATATAGAGAAAGATAAAAAAAGCAGGCGAGAACAAGAGGGGATTTGGTTCTTGAAAAAGGAAAATCATGTCTGGTGAGCTATATGTTTGTACTGTTTTTGTCTTGCAGGAACCCCCAGTCCTCATGGCAGAAAGCACTTAGACTTCAAGCAGGAAGCACAGGCATTATTGGTCGGAATCAGAGAACTGTATTTAGGACCTACTGCTGATGGGCTGAAGTTGAAGGGAGGGATCCAAGAAAGAGATACCACAGAAGGAGAAACACCCAAAATCTGCACAAAACTCCCATACATCCTTGATTGACCTTGAACTGTGCATGTGCAGACCAGACTACAAGGAGCAGAAAAGAAAAATAAGAGCTTCAAAGTTAAAGAGTTGGGCAGACTTCAGCTGCTGCCCACCTCTGGAGACTGAATTTAGAATTTGAGTCTCACCAAGTTAGAGAAACTTGGTAAACACCTCAGTCTTTTTCAATATAACCCCAGAAAGGCCATGCCTTAGGGATAAAGACTGTATCTCAGGATTCAGAGCAAAACCAAGGGATTTGCACAACAAAGCACAAGTTCATGATACACCAGTAATTCAATTAGTTGATAGAACAAGACACAACACTCTGCAGAAAATACCAGAATCCAGAGTCTCTATAATACATCATCCATAATATCGAAGATACAATAAAAAAATTACCATGCAAAAAATATTTTACTAATATTCAATGGCAGCAAATCCATAAATGACTTGGATGTTGTTGTAATAAAAAAGAACTCTAAAATGTTTTAAAGAATCTTTGGAACAAGTTGTGTATTATGAGTAGAGATGGGAAGTTTCTGAAGATACTAAAACAAACCAACAAAACCAACCCAAACCCAAAAGTAGTCTAAGCCTGTGCCCAGGAAAAGTGTAAATGGTGAGGAGGGGAATAAAGAAGAGAAAAATCATAGAAACTTGTGAAATTAAAACTTTAATATTAAACTGAGCCTTATAAAAACCAAGTGAGAACCATGATGGAGTAACTGATGGTAAACAGTTATAAAACTAGACAAAACATATGAAGCATCAGTTTGGATTTTTGAGAAATGCACAAAGTAAGGCCCATGATCACCTGTTTTTCTGCCTTTCAGCACTTCCAGGTAGCAGCACAGCAAGTAAGCCAAGCAGAGTTCAGTAGTTTCAACAAACTGCGGAATATGCAAGACTATGGAAGTGGTTGGAGACTGAAGGGCAAGAGTGCCTGAGCAGAGAGAGAGCAGAACAGGGAAGTTCCCACAATGGCCACAGGGGTGACCTCAAGACTTTGATCATATATCAAGATGCACATGCGCCTGGTGAGAGTCCATGAAGCCAGGCAGTGAACAGCTGCTTGAAAGCTGTGAGCCAGACAGATATTCCAAAAGCAGTACAGTACTATAAAACTTAGGAGTTCTAACCAGGTAGAGTACAAAGTCCTTGCTACACAATCTGGGCTAAAAAGTCCACAGTCAAAGAATTAAGACTACTCTAGGCCGAGACTACTCTTTACCCTAGACCTATCTGAGCAAAAATATATAACAAGTTTCAAAAGGATCCAGCAAATTAAAAGCATGCAATGATAAAAACCAACACTCTTAAGAAGGACAGAACCCAAATTCTCAACAACATAGTGTCCAGAATGTTCAACATATAAATGAAAATTACTAGACATGAGAAGGAAAAGGTGACCTGTGACCAGGAAAAAAATATTAGTTAATTAAAAGTGGCCACAAAAAAACACCAAGACCTGAATTTTTCTTTTTTTTTTAGAAAGGATTTTAAAGCAGATGTTATTAATTTGATCAAATACTAAAGAAAAATATAGTGATAATAAATAATGCATGAAAATCTCAGCAGAGAAATGGAAACTCTAGAATCAAAGGGTAAAATGAAAAATCTGTAACTG